AATTTACCATAACTAACCTGGCCCTTTTCAAAAATCTACTTAATGACATGTTTGAAGGCAGGTGTACACATATGCTTATTTCTTATGCTGGGAAAAATGAGATTACCTTCACTTTCCACCCCTTGGAAATCTGGTTCAGAAATCATAGCCACATTATAAGGTGCAAAACTTTGAGATCCCTTTTGGCCATCCCTTTTATTATAATGAAAGGTGTCAGTGCACTAAACAATAGTAGTTCCTATGATAGGTAAGAGCATCAATCCTTTGCAACTAGCATGATCTTGTATTTTGGCCATTGTATTGGGAATTTCTCAAGTGATTTGAAGAGAACATGTGAATGGGAAAAATTTCTCACTATTAAAATGATAGTGATAGCAATAACCAAATGAGGAAAAATATGAAAATTCTCTTTTATATTCTTTCCTATTAATCACTCTATGTAAACTTTACTGTTTATTCAACTTCAATATACAATTATTTACTTGTCTGAAAAATAGAATTGCAGCAGAACTTTTAGAAATAGCTTGTTAGAAAATTCCCTTCACACAAAGGATAGTGACAAAAGTATAGAGCCAATTCACCATAGTCATGTAATTTAGATGTTTTATGGCTCAAATTCTCAAGTTTCTCCAAGTCGAAACTTTCAAGAATACATTTAATGTAATGTTTATGAGTTTTGCTTTTAATCTTACTCAAAACTTTTGTCATTTTGTACTTACGGACTGAGAAAGACCCATAAGTCTCAATTTGACGTTATCTAAATGTTACAGAATTTTAAAGACTTGGTCAGCATCATAAGCAAGGAAACAAGTGTAAATATCACTGAACAATTCTACCGAAGATTCATGGAGTTAAAACAGAGGGTGAACTGTATATAAATGAGCTCAGTGGCAATTACATTGTTTTTATTTGCAGTAGTTATGATGATTAATGAACCACTGTTTTAGGCCTCAGTATCTTACTTTTTCTTTTCTTTTTTTTTTCCAAGATAAGGGACTCTCTTTTTTAACATAAAGAACATTTGTTCAGTTTCCTGAAACTGTAACAATTCAGAGAATTGGCAGAGAGAGCCATATATCCCAAAGTGTATTATCTGGTGAATTCTGCTAAACAGGAGCAGGAACGCACCTGAACCTAGCTCTACCCTCTGGGCTTATTATCTGGTGAATTCTGCTAAACAGGAGCAGGAACGCACCTGAACCTAGCTCTACCCTCTGGGCTTATAAGGGTTATCTTTGCTAAAGGAAACCATGGCTCCACATGAAATAGGTTTCTCCTTTTCCTGTCAACTAAAGGGCTGGACCTTTTTTTTAGTTTCTTTTTTTTGTTGTTTTTTTTGTGTTTTTTTTTTAAGGTGAATTTATCCAGAGACACTTGGGTAATTTGGCCCAATAAAAATCTATTTTTAAAAACATCAATGTTCAAAATATTTAACAACTGTAAACCCCAGGCATTAATCAATCAGAAAATACTGACCATACAAAGAATAGGATGGCCCTGCTGGCCAATGCAACTCAATAGCAGCCCTGTTTAACAGCCCAGTTTACTGCCTCAGCCTAAATAAGAATGGATTAGATTACTGTGATCTTGTTGCCAATTCTTTTTCATGTAGAAATAAAATGTTTTGAGATAAAAAAATTCATGTGAAAGAATATTATTTGTTATATTTTTTGGTATCAACTGATAAGAAATTAATAATTCTGGTGTACCTCTGGAGTTCAGTGATCCATTCCTATTAATCCCTGAAACTTCAACGACTGTTGCCATGTTGGATATAAGGACACAATGTAGATGTTGTCCATCATTTTGAAAATATGCCATCATTCTGTTCTGTTGGAATTAAGAATAGATCTAAAATTTTTAAGTGCAAAACAAATGGCAAATTTTATTGCCTGAATACATTGCTATATGTAGCCCATTCTTAACTGACATTGGCAGAGACCTTTAGATTTGTAAATGCTAAATTCTAATTCTCAAAACCTTAGTAAATTCCTGAAACTAGTCAGCTAGTACAGTTTCTGAAAGCTTTGTCAGTCTTCACTGATATTTAGATTCACAATTGGACAAAGTTTCAAAGAAACATCGATCCAACTAAAAGAAATCATAACATGTTAACTATTTTTTTGTCAGATGGTGGGAAATTTTGAACTATGGGATGCAGTTCTATAATACATAACAGTTCACCTTACAGAAAAAAAAATTATATGTACAAATGAGAGTTGTATGTATAGATTATTACAAAGAATTGTGTTTTATTCAGTCACTCATTATTGTATTTGTTTATTCATCTTCAATGTACAATTATTTACTGAGTCAGCATAATATGTTTCAGATACCAGACTAGTTCATGATGTAAACCTCATAAATTTTTGATAATTCTATTGTAACTAAAATACTATTACACATAATGTGACTTCTAATTTTTATATTCTTCTTATTGGTCTTAAAGAAAATAGTATAGAAGACACTAAAATAAAATACAGATATTTAAGAATGATTGTGTATAATTGAAATGAATCAGATATATATCAGATAAAATATAGTTTAAGAGTGAAAAAATATAAAAATTCTTTTTATGATTATAGGCATATTTTTGTTTTTTCATTTTTGTTTTTGTTTATTTGCTTGCTTTTTTCACATGAGATGCAGAATTATGTAGTAATTTAGAGTTCGAGTGAACTGCCTGCATTCAGATATCAGCTCTGTCCCTTTTATGCTGTGTGACCATCAATATGTTGCTTAACCTCTCTGAGACTTAAATCCTTCAACTATGAAATGGGGATTATAATATTATCTACCTCAAAAGGTTGCTATAAGTATTAAGTGGTTTAACATATATAAAGTCCTTACAAAACTGAGATACATTAAGTATTATTATATATAGGGTGTCCCTCAAAAATGTATCTACACACTTTAAATAATTAGAAATGCAATGCTTATTAAAATACATTTCATTTTAGAAATTGAGCAATCAGCTGTTAAAGTGTGTGTACTATTTTGGGGGGATACCCTGTATATATTAGCACATTATGTGGTTAGTATGAAAAAAAATCTTATCGTGCAAGAGTGCTTATGTTGGGTCATCCAGGTCTATCTGTTAGTAGCTCTTTAACTCTGAGCAAAGTTATTTATGTGAGTCTTAGTTTCCTCATATGTAAAGTGAAAATGTTCATTTTATCTACCTCTTGGGCTTTATTGAATTAACACACATGAAATGGATAGCACAATACTTGGCCCACAGTCAGCTATCAAAAAATGTTAGCTATGACTTTTTAAAAAATTATTTCAATATATATATACTGAAGGCCCAGTGCACAAAATTTGCCCCAGCAGGGGCCTCCCTTCACACCCGCCTTGGCCCGCCACAATCCCGCTGTTGTCAGGGCCCACTGTGGCTGCAGCGCCTCTACTGCCTCTGGCTGTTAGCACCGCATCACCAATGCCCATCATGTTCTGCGCTGCCCCCTGGTGGTCAGTGTATGTCTAACTCCCGGTCAGTCGAACTCCCTCCTGTAGGGACAATTTGCATATTAGCCTTTTATTATATAGGACTAGCGGCCCAGTGCATGAATTTGTGCACGGGTGGGGTCCCTCGGCCTGGTTGGTGATCTGCCAGGGGGAGGGATCACGGGAGGTTGGCCGACTGGCTCGGGGTGGGACAGCGGGAGGTTGGCCGGCTGGTGGGGAAGGCCACGGGAGTTTGGCCAGCCACAGGAGGTTGGCTGTGGGAGCGCACTGACCACCAGGGGGCAGCTCCTGCGTTGAACATCTGCTCCCTGGTGGTCAGTGCATGTCATAGAGACCGGTTGTTTGGTTGTAATGGTCACTTGGGCTTTTATATATAGATAGATAATGGGGATAGTAATATTATTGTAACCAATGAATGTACCTATGAAGACAAGTAAACATTTTAGTGTGATCCAAAGTGTGTTTTTCTTTACTAACTAGTCAATACCTTACAAATTAAATTACACTATTTATAAATAATGAAATTTGAATAAAATTAGCTGAGGATATAGTTTCTTATTTGCATCCTTGCCTGACCTTGGTGGCAAGTTCCAAGGCAAGTTTTGTTGTTATTTTTTTTCAATTTAGGTAACTAAGTTTGTCATATAATTTGATAAATAATATATAAAAAATGTATTGGATTAACTTTCCAATTAATTTTTAAACTTTTTTCAGAACACCTTTGTAAGAAATTTCTCTTTCAGCGATTTCTGTTGACTTTCCATATTTTTAAAAGAGTTTAACAAGTATAAACACAGTGTTAGAATGAAATTCTAACCTGGGGGGAAAATCACTTTTTATAATGGTGATTGTCATTGAATCTTACCATTATTGACCTTAAAAATAGAACAGTCAGTTATTTTACCAACAAAAAAATGGGCTTATTTAGGAAAACAGAGAATTGCAATTTGGGACAAGCATTCTCTAGAAAAAAATACAGGTAATCCAGCAGAAAAGGAGAGGGACATTACTTTATAAAGAAAAAGAAGGAAACTCAGAGGGGGTGCTTTCAATGGAAGAAAGTGAGAGTTCAGGGAGGTAATGGTTTCCAGTTGGCTGAGTAGTGAGGTTCCCCACCCCCTGGGCTTGTGGCTGGGCCAGGAGAACTCTTCCTTCCTGCTGCTGTAGTAGTTGAGACACTTCTTGATGGGAATGCAATGTACCTTTCTTCCTGTAGGGGTCTGTAATTGAGGCTTCTTCCTTTGAGGTGTGCAATTGACATGGAGTGGTAGTATGTGAGAGCGCCTCCTTCTGGCCTCCCTAACTTAATTAAAAAAGAGATTTCCTTTATTCACTCTCACACCACTAAATATTCAATTGGCTCATTTCATAATTTTCACAAAAAGTCTCAGAATTCTCAAAGACTAATAGGAGGGCATGTGAGGGTCACAAGGAAATATTTTCTGGCTCACTGTTGACATTGATGGACAAATTGGAAAATACTGCTGTGAATATGCTACATTGTAATTGTTGTTTATTATTTTTCTTATTAGGAACCTTTCACTGAAGTTAACAAAAGACATTGATCAGGAAGGCAGGTGTTCACATATTAGCCGAATGCCCAGTAGTCCGTCTGCAGACTGGCCCCTGCAAGGTGTGGAAGAAAATGGAGGCATAGATTCTCTGCCCTTCAGACTGATGTTACAGGACTGCACAGCTGTCAAGACACTATTGTTAAAGATGAAGAGAGTTCTTCAAGAGGTAATGGTTTACTCTAAGAGTAATGTCTTTTGGTGCTAGTATACAGACAGACCTGGTTAGTCCCCACTTCTGTCACAAATTAACTGCATTACAAAGGGCAGGGATCAAGTGTTTGAAGTTCTGCTCTAAACATACTCATCAGCTCTAAAATTTTAATATTCTGTGAAGGAATTTAAAAAAGTAATTGATACTAAGTAAAGAGAAATAGGCATCAGCTGCTATGCTTATGTGCTATGATAAAGCTAATGAGACACATTAAATGAATTTCACTTTAAACATACTGAGGCTTTCTTTATCTATATATATAAAAGCCCAGCGACCAGAACGCCAGAATGACCAGTCACTTTGACACACACTGAGGCCCACCAACTGGTCCAATCAGGGGGTGGCCCCTCCCCCAGCTGCCCTGGCTGGATCGGGGGCGGCGCCAGCTGGCCAACCTCCTGCAGCCCCTCCTCCAGCCAGCCCAGCCCCTGATAGGTCCCCCCATCCCAATTGGGGGCTGGGCCGGTGGCCAACTGCCCGTGGCCCCTTCCCCCTGCTGGCTTAGCTGGATCAGTCCCCATCGGGGCAGGCCGGCCGAACCCCACCCGTGCACTAATTCGTGCACCAGGCCTCTAGTATAACAATGGCAATTTAGTCATTTAGTTGCAATGAAAATCAGTCCGGTAAAATGTAATCTGAATCTTTGATTTTATCCTGTTGAATATAGTTGCCTTCCCACAGCCTATGCTCATTTAGATGATAAGCTGCTCAGTAAAATGCATAATGCACTCTTTCCCCTTTCTGTCCAGGAGTCAGCTATTCTTTAGATTCAAGTGTCTTATGGTTTTATTTTTATAATTACCCCAATTATTTTCTTTCAGGGATTTTTTTAAATATATACATTCAAATTCAAGACAACAGTCTGAGATTTCTGACCTCAAATTCAGTGGATTTTTGTTATATCCCATGATCGTTCACTTGTTTCTCTTTATTGATAGGAAGTACTAATAAATAGTTTGAAAAGAGAAATTAATCATATTGTGGTTAACTTTACAATGATGATCATTGATAATTGCTTTTCTAACACTGATAATAATAAGAATGCTAGCAGCTACCACTAGAGGCCAGAATGGAATCAGGAAGAGAGAAGGATATTTAATGGAAATGATTTCCACAGATTATTGAGGACATTCAGTCATGTGTTCTTTTCAGCCCTTGAAGCAAAAATTGGAAATCTCTATGTCCCATACCTGTGACTATGTAGCTGGGTGGTCTTACAATATATGCAGTAGTATGTAGGAATGCTGTGCTGATACTGGATCGCTGTTAGCATTTCAGGAAGTTTAAGAGCTGGCGGTTAAGCACAGGCATAAAAAATTAAATTACCTACATGTATAACAAAAGAAATTATATTTTTAACAGCATAATCAAAACTCAAAACTCATTTTCTAGTTATTGTACTAAATTTTACTGTTAACTATACTTGTGAGCTTGTTTATATCTATTGGATTTATTTGTAGAAATCCTATATAATAGCTATGGTGCATATTCCCCAATTGTAGATTCATTTAGGTCATTTTGGTAGCATGAAATCAGCCAAATAGGAGTATTATGCCACAGAAGTCGGCAAACACTGTAAATTAGTGCTTTTAATTTTTGGTGAGCGTTTTGTGAAATATTTACCAACACACTGCTCTCTGAATGAATATTGTTTCTGTATTGACAACATAAGCATTTGCTGCACTTGTGGAATCTCTGACATTTGGCTTAACGTATAGTCTGAACCTCTTTGAACAAGGCAAACTTAATAACGGCGGTTGTATTAAAAGATATTAATCTCAAAGTCAGTAACATTCAACTATTCAGATTCTTACTTCTCTCTTTGGTCACATATTTTAATTTAGAAAATTCATGCAAGTAAAGGGTAGTAGAAGAGTTGACATCTTGGAGAGTCACGAGGCTTTCTTAGGGTACTTAATTTTATAGTTTAAAGCTATTTAGTGATATTCACCATAAAGTCAATGTTCAGAATATATTGAGATTGCTTTTATACTTTTATCCATTTTATACTTGTCTGTTATTCTTCATGAAAAAGTGTTTGAAGAAACTGAAGAGAATTGATTTTTAAAGCTGATGTACAATGAGCAATAATTACATCTATTTATTAAGCCTCTTCAGAGAGCAGGGAGTCTTAAATTCTTTATGGTCAACAAGAAAAGAAATATTGTGGTCAGCATAGTCAAGTGTTGTAGTAATAAGATGTTCATAATAGATGTCTTTAAAGGAAATGGTTTATTGAAATGTTTTTTTTTAATTTAAACCAGGAATTTTCAAATGGCAATTCACATTTCATTACTATGTTTGAGTTTAATACCAACTATCCATTTTAAATTGACTTTTTAATATAGAACAATAATGTTTTTCCTATTTTGTGAACTTATATTTTTAAATTTATTTTTATTGTTGACACTATTACCGATGTCCCCTCCCCGTTTCCTCCTCCCTTAGCCCGGCTCCTCTCAGTTCTGCATCCACCCCTCACCTGGTTTTTACCACAGTGTTGTCTGTGACCATGGACGATGAACTTATTTTTTATGATCCAAAGCAGTCTGACTTTTGTATACAGATTATTTTTTAACTGAAGAACTCAGTTATTTGATTTTTAAGATAAAAAAGTGATTAATGAGTTTAATATATCCTGCTAGAAAATGCTCTTATTGGAAATTTTTCCTAATGGAGCTCAGGTGACATCTCAGATTTTAATTTTAAGGTGAGTCAAATGTGAATAATCTGAATGGAATCTCATACTCCTAATTTTGCCCTTCCCCTTCTTTGAAGATCAGTTGCTATATTAAAATGCATAGAAGTATTCCCAACAACCCCAAACATCAGCTCCTTTATTTAAAAACAAACAATAACAAAAACGAACTGACTTTGGTCCCACAGAAATTCTACTGTTACTTTATTCTTTACTATTCATGATAAAAGAAGTGACTACAGCAGAAGAGACACTTTTTCTTCTTTTGTTAATGTTTTTAAACATGATTCCATTATCTATAAATGAAGAGGATATCTACTGTACAGAGCTAGTTTCTGTTGTCTTGTTTCCTTTTAGTTTGTGCTGTTCTTTTATAACCTAGTCTCAGAAGTAACATAACATCACTTTTCTAAAATTTATTTATTGGTGACAACAGCAACCTTGATTCAGCAGGGGAGGCACTTTACAGAGATTTGTGGGGAACATTGTAGAACATCTGGAAGCTGGCTTCCACATTCTATTCTCTGGCCCCCAATGATGCATCTCTCACAATGCAAAGTATACTTGCTCTCTCCTAAGGCCACCCAAAGAATCATCCCATTCCCAGGGGTGGGGAAACATTTTTCTGCAAGGGCCATTTGGAGAATATATATATCATCATCATCATCATCATTCATGGGACATACAAAATTATCAACTTAAAAATTAGCCTGCTATATTTGGTCAGGCATTTAATTAACTCACCCCTAATGCCTTGGCAGGGCCAGACCAAATGATTTCTTGGGCCTTATATGGCCCATGGGCTGGATAGTCCCCACCTCTGCATCACAGCATCACCTGAAAGTACAGAATTTTACCATGTAAATCATGTGCAGATGTAGATGAGGCTTAAATACAATGACTCAAGTACAGTCCTTCATTTGAAGACTATTTAATTCATAGGTTAGCAGTTTCTTGATTAGGACTTAAAGCCTGAGAATAATTCTCCATGGCTTTTAATTCCTCCCTCTGTACTCAAGGTTCTACCCTCCTAGTCATTCTTTATTTTCATGTAAACTTAGCACATGATTACAGCTGAATAGTTTTCTCATCCTTATTTGTGCTCGTAGACATATTCCAAAGGCCTCTTTTAATTTTGTACCTTCTTTTTCCACTTAAGTCTAAGTACAGCGTGTTTCTCTAAATCTAATTCACTTAAATTATTTTGGGATCTCTCAACCTTATCAGGAATTCACTCTATCAGACAAAAGCCATATAGGAATTCACTCTATCAGACAAAAGCCATACCCACACATATCTTCAAGATAAGTCCTTCTTAACTTGAAATAGCTGAGAGACAACCCTTTAAGACTTTATAATTTTAATTGTCTGTTGAGAGTATTTGTGAGACATATCCTTAAACCTCAATTAAGGCACTTTAAAAAATATTTATTGATTTCAGAGAGGATGGGAGAGGGAGATAGAGATAGAAACATCAATGGTGAGAGAGAATCACTGATCGGCTGCCTCCTGCACGCCCCCTACTGGGGCTCAAGCCAGCAACTCAGACTGGAATCAAACTCGGAACCCTTCAGTCCACAGGCCGATGCTCTATCCACTGAGCCAAACCAGCTAGAGCTAAATGCACTTTTTGACTGAACTCAGTACTCTGCAGCACTTCTCATCTTTCAGACTACCTCTGCATATTCTAAATTAATTTCTAAGGTCATAAAAATATGTATATCTGGATTGGTGTTGTGGTTGCATAGGTTTCCATTTTTAATAAAGCTCATCAAATTATACACTTAACATAACAGCACGTGGGATATCATTACATAACTGATAGCATCACTGTTAATGGCGTCATTCTGTGGAATTTTTGTTCTTCCCCTGGGAGACCTGTACTAGTAAATGAACTCTGACCGTTTATCATGCAGACCAAGTTAGGATGGTGGTGTGAATTCTTACAAATTGTTGTTAGAGTTTTTTCCCCCATATTTAGAATAAGTTAAAAAAAATTTAACAGTGCACCACTGTCTTCTTACATGACAATGGATCCCATTGCATACACTCTGAAGAAACTTGTGGCCTCATAGTTACTGAGAATGAGTAGGTTTCTGAATAAGAATATTCTACCTGGCTCTTTGTGAGGGAATAGAACTGACCTTGAGAATAGATAGGAAGGGGAGGGAGTATAATTCAATGACTCTTTTGCTATGTAAGCAACCTTAACTTTCAACAGTGCTCTGGGAGAGATGAGAGAAGTTAGAGAAAAATT